GTTGATGTTTGATGTCCTCCATGTCAACACCTGTTGATGTATGATATCCTCCATGTCAACACCTGTTGATGTTTGGTATCCTCTATGTCAACACATGTTGATGTTTGGTATCCTCCATGTCGACACTTATTGATGTTTGGTATCCTTCCATATCAACACATGTTGATGTTTGATGTCCTCCATATCAACACCTGTTGATGTATGGTATCCTTCCATGTCAACACTTGTTGATGTTTGGTATCCTTCCATGTCAACACTTGCTGATGTTTGATATTCTCCATGTCAATACTTGTTGATGTTTGGTATCCTCCATGTCAACACTTGTTGCTGTTTGATATCCTCCATGTCAACACCTGTTGATGTTTGATATCCTCCATGTCAACACCTGTTGATGTATGGTATCCTCCATGTCTATACCTGTTGATGTTTGATATCCTCCATGTCACCACCTGTTAATGTTTGATGTCCTCCATGTCAACACCTGTTGATGTTTGATATCCTCCATGTCAACACCTGTTGATGTTTGGTATCCTCCATGTCAACACCTGTTGATGTTTGATATCCTCCATGTCAACACTTGTAGATGTTTGGTATCCTCCATGTCAACACTTGTTGATGTTTGATATCCTCCATGTCAACACCTGTTGATGTATGATATCCTCCATATCAGCACTTGTTGATGTTTGATATCCTCCATGTCAACACTTGTTGATGGTTAGTATCCTCCATGTCAACATCTGTTGCTGTTTGATATCCTCCATGTCAACACTTGTTGATGTTTGATATCCTCCATGTCAACACCTGTTGATGTTTGATATCCTCCATGTCAACACTTGTTGATGGTTAGTATCCTCCATGTCAACATCTGTTGCTGTTTGATATCCTCCATGTCAACACTTGTTGATGTTTGATATCCTCCATGTCAACACTTGTTGATGTTTGATATCCTCCATGTCAACACCTGTTGATGTTTGGTATCCTCTATGTCAACACTTGTTGATGTTGGGTATCCTCCATGTCAACACTTGTTGATGTTTGATGTCCTCCATGTCAACACCTGCTGATGTCCAATATCCTCCATGTCAACACCTGTTGATGTTTGATATCCTCCATGTCAACACCTGTTGATGTTTGATATCCTCCATGTCAACACCTGTTGATGTATGGTATCCTCCATGTCTATACCTGTTGATGTTTGATGTCCTCCATGTCAACACCTGTTGATGTTTGATATCCTCCATGTCAACACCTGTTGATGTTTGGTATCCTCCATGTCAACACCTGTTGATGTTTGATATCCTCCATGTCAACACTTGTAGATGTTTGGTATCCTCCATGTCAACACTTGTTGATGTTTGCTATCCTCCAAGTCAACACTTGTTGATGTTTGATATCCTCCATGTCAACACTTGTTGATGGTTAGTATCCTCCATGTCAACATCTGCTGATGTTTGATATCCTCCATGTCAACACCTTTGGATGTTAAGTATCATCCATGTCAACACTTGTTGATGTTTGATGTCCTCCATGTCAACACCTGTTGATGTATGATATCCTCCATGTCAACACCTGTTGATGTTTGGTATCCTCTATGTCAACACATGTTGATGTTTGGTATCCTCCATGTCGACACTTGTTGATGTTTGGTATCCTTCCATATCAACACATGTTGATGTTTGATGTCCTCCATATCAACACCTGTTGATGTATGGTATCCTTCCATGTCAACACTTGTTGATGTTTGGTATCCTTCCATGTCAACACTTGCTGATGTTTGATATTCTCCATGTCAATACTTGTTGATGTTTGGTATCCTCCATGTCAACACTTGTTGCTGTTTGATATCCTCCATGTCAACACCTGTTGATGTTTGATATCCTCCATGTCAACACCTGTTGATGTATGGTATCCTCCATGTCTATACCTGTTGATGTTTGATATCCTCCATGTCACCACCTGTTAATGTTTGATGTCCTCCATGTCAACACCTGTTGATGTTTGATATCCTCCATGTCAACACCTGTTGATGTATGGTATCCTCCATGTCTATACCTGTTGATGTTTGATGTCCTCCATGTCAACACCTGTTGATGTTTGATATCCTCCATGTCAACACCTGTTGATGTTTGGTATCCTCCATGTCAACACCTGTTGATGTTTGATATCCTCCATGTCAACACTTGTAGATGTTTGGTATCCTCCATGTCAACACTTGTTGATGTTTGATATCCTCCATGTCAACACTTGTTGATGTTTGATATCCTCCATGTCAACACTTGTTGATGGTTAGTATCCTCCATGTCAACATCTGCTGATGTTTGATATCCTCCATGTCAACACCTTTGGATGTTAAGTATCATCCATGTCAACACTTGTTGATGTTTGATGTCCTCCATGTCAACACCTGTTGATGTATGATATCCTCCATGTCAACACCTGTTGATGTTTGGTATCCTCTATGTCAACACATGTTGATGTTTGGTATCCTCCATGTCGACACTTGTTGATGTTTGGTATCCTTCCATATCAACACATGTTGATGTTTGATGTCCTCCATATCAACACCTGTTGATGTATGGTATCCTTCCATGTCAACACTTGTTGATGTTTGGTATCCTTCCATGTCAACACTTGCTGATGTTTGATATTCTCCATGTCAATACTTGTTGATGTTTGGTATCCTCCATGTCAACACTTGTTGCTGTTTGATATCCTCCATGTCAACACCTGTTGATGTTTGATATCCTCCATGTCAACACCTGTTGATGTATGGTATCCTCCATGTCTATACCTGTTGATGTTTGATATCCTCCATGTCACCACCTGTTAATGTTTGATGTCCTCCATGTCAACACCTGTTGATGTTTGATATCCTCCATGTCAACACCTGTTGATGTTTGGTATCCTCCATGTCAACACCTGTTGATGTTTGATATCCTCCATGTCAACACTTGTAGATGTTTGGTATCCTCCATGTCAACACTTGTTGATGTTTGATATCCTCCATGTCAACACCTGTTGATGTATGATATCCTCCATATCAGCACTTGTTGATGTTTGATATCCTCCATGTCAACACTTGTTGATGGTTAGTATCCTCCATGTCAACATCTGTTGCTGTTTGATATCCTCCATGTCAACACTTGTTGATGTTTGATATCCTCCATGTCAACACCTGTTGATGTTTGATATCCTCCATGTCAACACTTGTTGATGGTTAGTATCCTCCATGTCAACATCTGTTGCTGTTTGATATCCTCCATGTCAACACTTGTTGATGTTTGATATCCTCCATGTCAACACTTGTTGATGTTTGATATCCTCCATGTCAACACTGTTGATGTTTGATATCCTCCATATCAACACCTGTGGATGCGCAGCGTGCATGTTCCTATTATGTTCATTTTTTACATATTTTCAGTTTGTTTAGAAACCTGTTGCTAAACTATCCTTTTTTCCCTATAATTGATCGATTTATTAAATATACTTTAAATGTAGTCTGTTGATCATCCTTTAATCTGTATTGAGCTAGACAAAGATGGATCTTATAGGCCTTAGGAACCTCTACTGACATTCAGTCTATTATATTGAGACAGATCAGGATTTGCCTGAAGGAAGTCTAATCCTACCATGACAAGTTGTAGTAAGTAACACATCAATTAATTGGTTTTTCATTCTTAAAAGTAACTTTTAGTTTTGATATTTAAGATAAATACCTGTTCAAAAAAGGATTAAGAAACAGAACTTGTGCTGGTATCCTAGCTTCTCTGTTGGTGTAGTATTGGGTCACTTCTTTATTTCTAAATCATTACTGTTTTCTCTTTTTTTTAATTTTTGGTGGTAAATAAAGATGCAGTACTGATGATCACAAGGTGAGCTCAACATTAAAACGTGTTGTGCCACAAACCTCGAGAAGACATAGTGGAAATAATATTGATCCATAGCAAACCCCTAGTTTTGTCAAAGTAGCTCAGGATAATACCAGAATATAGAAATAGTCAAGGGAAACATGATCCTAGTGTTGTACAACCTTATCAGAGAGAATAGAGTTAACACTACTATGGAAGCTTGGTTTGGGATTGTTTAATTGTGTGAAGACTTGTTAATTTTGTGTTAGATAGATAGACCATAGAATCATCCAATCAGTGGAATTCTGGTAAAGCACAATTGAAAACAGCTCAGTAGAGCTACCGGCGCACACACATACAGCAAGAGAGAGAGCCTGTTTTCAGAGATTCAGAACAATTTCAGTTGTCTCGATATCGTCTCGGTGCTGCTTCATTGTATTTTCCTGGCAATTCATATAGCAGCCAGCATACAACAAACCATTTCTTTAGAAAAGCTGAGCAGTGATAATCTGTTTCCTTGGATTGTGGTAGATCAGCAGGATTCGAACATGTTTGTCTTCTTCTTCATGATAAAAAGGAGCTCTTTTGTGTTTGAAGTGATGTTTAGGCAAAATTAACTTACTTATCTGTTACAGCTGATGAGACATTGACCATACAATTGTGTTGGTTTTTTCCCTTGGAGAAATCATCAGATTTGAGTTCAAATCTAAGTCTGTGGTGATGTCATGGTTCTCATTACGTTTCAGTTCCATTTTTTATCCGCATGTGGTGATAGGTTTTGTCTAGCCTCAAAAACAGTGAGAGTAATGTTCGCAATCAATGACAGTCTTGCAAACAGTCACAGTCGATGTGACAATGTAGTCGAATCAAGGTTTTCTTGGAATTCCACGACTGGATGAGTGTTTGCTTGATTATAACATCTTGTTTGTAGCTAAGCTATATTTTTCTTTCCCAAATTGTTAATTCATCAATGGCTTACAGCCTTAGTGATCCACCAATGGAGAAGAAAACCATGCAGAAAGGATCCAAGATGCAGAAAATTGTGCAATACCTGACACCACACTTCAAAAGCAATGGCTTAAATGCTAGCAAACAGAAACAAAGAGAAAGAAGTAATAGTAATCGGAGATTTTCTACTTGTTTCAATTCCAGACATGCTGACGATTTGATTGTCACACCCTTCGCTCAGATTCTGGCCAGTCTACGGAGTGTCCGCAACAACTACATCACCCTAACAAACATCCAAGTTTCAAGAGAAAGGTAAATCATATTTTCTGTATATTTTAGATTAAGATATGTCATTTATTTTGAAAAAAAGTCTTTCTTCTGTTTTTTCATTAGAAAATATTTCATGTTTATAATCAGAGAAAATTGTTTTCCATCTTGTTTCCAAAGAATGAAATCATTTCATTGGAAAATGTTTTCTGTTTCTTCATTCCATGCAAAAATAGTCATGGAATTTTATTCGGCTTCATTGCACTTAGCTAACATATCTTTCTTTCCAATTAGACAAAAAATAACCCACCAAAGTAATCAATCTTATATACATTAATGATGTAGCAGACAGTTTGCACTTCATTAATGGAAATCAATTGTTTTCAAATATCAAACTGTCATGTTCCTAGATTCAGGCCTTTGCCATTCAGGCGGCCATCTCTACATCACATTCCTAATGAGGGACTTCAAGTCTGAAAGTCTGAATTAGATTGACAGTCAATTTTTTTTTTCTCATGTTTACTGACAGAACAGTTTTTTGCTTCAAGTATCTTGCAATCTTTGAAAACCATGGTCCAGTCTAGCTTACAGATACAGATCAGGCCATTAAGCCAATGTTAGAAAGGGGATCTTTCTGGCTCCCAAGTCAAGGTCACTTCCTATTCTTAGAAAATCAACACCAACTTTGCATTAGGATGTAATCATTCATGCAGGGACAGGGGAGTATGGTTTAAGGTCAAGGTCACAAACAGTTTTATAGAATATCATCAGTTAACTTTCATTGGAGAAAAGGAAGCTTTCTTGGGTGAGGGTTTATGTTTCAAAGGTCAAGGTCTCCTACTTTTAACAAAAAAATCAATCTTCAATTCAATTTCATCTGAGTAAGAATATTCATGGGGAGGGGATTATATGTTTCAAGGCCAAAGTCACATATTATTTAATTGTCAATTAACAATTTCCATGGAAATGATGGCATTCCTGTTTTGACTAAAATAGTAGCATGAGTTCTCAGTGTGACAGAGACACAAATGCCTGATAGTTTAATCAATAAATTGCCCACATATCTTGAGGACACAAAAAAAGCAGATGGTCTACCCAAATTTACAACATTGGAGACTTTCATTGTCAGTCCCTCTCTCTAAGCTACATTTCTATTCCAGTACCCTACCTCTTCACAGCTGGTTAGTCAGACCAGGGTTATCAAAGGATTGTAATACTTCTATGTCAAAATAAATGACATTTCAGTACATTTGTAATGGCTCATCAACCATGGACATCATAATGCATTTGACTACCATGTACACCACTGTTGTCAAAACATACTGGCAGAGACAGGCGATAACTCCGCAAAATCCACACAAACAAATCATTCATTCATTCAGTCAAGAAATGCTTTCCTTTTGTTAAATGCAAAATGAATATATTTTGCAAGATTACTTAGTTTCTTCACATTATTTATACTTAATGATTGCACAAGTTTAAAAACATTAGGAGATTTAAAATAATACCTTTTAATATATTTTTGTCTAATTTCAAATTAAGATGGACATTGTAGGATAAAATGAAACTTGTCTTCAATTTCGTTATTGTAGCAGCATTTACATTTTCTACGTCTCCTCTCAATGTTGTGATAGTGACCATTTTCAATATCTAACTGGTGTGAAAACAATCTAATGCTAGCTATACTTTTTTACATACATCCTCAACAGGCTTCAGTAAGTAACATTGCATGCAAAACTGGTCAATTAGATGTTTATATAGGTCACCTCAAACAGCATTAGTAATTTTGCCTGTTATTTCCTGGGTATTACAATTTATAAATCTTTGTTCTAATATTCTTTGCATATCTTTATTTATATGATCACTGTTCCAAATGTAAGATAACCCTAGTTTATCTAATTTATCATGTACACACATGTCCAGTACCTCACCCTCTATATTGCACCACTCATGTCCAGTACACCACCCTCTATATAACAAAACACATGTCCAGTACACCACCCTCTATATACCACCACACATGTCCAGTACCTCACCCTCTATATAACACTACATATGTCCAATACCTCACCCTCTATATAACACCACACATGTCCAGTACACCACCCTCTATATAATGCCACACATGTTTGGTACACCACCCTCTATATAACACCACACATGCCCAGTACACCACCCTCTATATAACACCACACATGTTCAGTACACCACCCTCTATATAACACCACACATGTCCAGTACACCACCCTCTATATAACACCACACATGTCCAGTACCTCACCCTCTATATAACACCACACATGTCCAGTACACCAGCCTCTATATAACACCACACATGTCCAGTACACCACCCTCTATATAACACCACACATGTTCAGTACACCACCCTCTATATAACACCACACATGTCCAGTACCTCACCCTCTATATAACACTACATATGTCCAATACCTCACCCTCTATATAACACCACACATGTCCAGTACACCACCCTCTATATAATGCCACACATGTTTGGTACACCACCCTCTATATAACACCACACATGCCCAGTACACCACCCTCTATATAACACCACACATGTCCAGTACGCCACCCTCTATATAACACCACACATGTCCAGTACACCAGCCTCTATATAACACCACACATGTCCAGTACACCACCCTCTATATAACACCACAGATGTTCAGTACACCACCCTCTATATAACACCACACATGTCCAGTACACCACCCTCTATATAACACCACAGATGTCCAGTACGCCACCCTCTATATGACACCACACATGTCCAGTACACCACCCTCTATATAACACCACACATGTCCAGTACACCACCCTCTATATGACACCACACATGTCCAGTACACCACCCTCTATATAATGCCACATATGTCCAATACCTCACCCTCTATAGAACACCACACATGAACACCACATATGTCCAGTACCTCACCCTCTATATAACAACACACATATCCAGTACACCACCCTCTATATGACACCACACATGTCCAGTACACCACCCTCTATATAATGCCACATATGTCCAATACCTCACCCTCTATAGAACACCACACATGAACACCACATATGTCCAGTACCTCACCCTCTATATAACAGCACACATATCCAGTACACCACCCTCTATATAACACCACACATGTCCAGTACACCACCCTCTATATAACACCACACATGTCCAGTACACCAGCCTCTATATAACACCACACATGTCCAGTACACCACCCTCTATATAACACCACAGATGTTCAGTACACCACCCTCTATATAACACCACACATGTCCAGTACCTCACCCTCTATATAACACTACATATGTCCAATACCTCACCCTCTATATAACACCACACATGTCCAGTACACCACCCTCTATATAATGCCACACATGTTTGGTACACCACCCTCTATATAACACCACACATGCCCAGTACACCACCCTCTATATAATGCCACACATGTTTGGTACACCACCCTCTATATAACACCACACATGCCCAATACACCACCCTCTATATAACACCACACATGTCCAGTACGCCACCCTCTATATAACACCACACATGTCCAGTACACCACCCTCTATATAACACCACACATGTCCAGTACACCACCCTCTATATAACACCACACATGTCCAGTACCTCACCCTCTATATAACACCACACATGTTCAGTACACCACGCTCTATATAACACCACACATGTTCATTACCTCACCCTCTATATAACACCACACATGTCCAGTACACCACCCTCTATATAATGCCACACATGTTTGGTACACCACCCTCTATATAACACCACACATGCCCAGTACACCACCCTCTATATAACACCACACATGTCCAGTACGCCACCCTCTATATAACACCACACATGTCCAGTACACCACCCTCTATATAACACCACACATGTCCAGTACCTCACCCTCTATATAACACCACACATGTCCAGTACACCAGCCTCTATATAACACCACACATGTCCAGTACACCACCCTCTATATAACACCACAGATGTTCAGTACACACCCTCTATATAACACCACACATGTCACACACACATATAACACACACATGTCACACACACACACACACACACACACACACACATGTCAGTACACCACCCTCTATATGACACCACACATGTCCAGTACACCACCCTCTATATCATGCCACATATGTCCAATACCTCACCCTCTATAGAACACCACACATGAACACCACATATGTCCAGTACCTCACCCTCTATATAACAACACACATATCCAGTACACCACCCTCTATATGACACCACACATGTCCAGTACACCACCCTCTATATAATGCCACATATGTCCAATACCTCACCCTCTATAGAACACCACACATGAACACCACATATGTCCAGTACCTCACCCTCTATATAACACCACACATGTCCAGTACACCAGCCTCTATATAACACCACACATGTCCAGTACACCACCCTCTATATAACACCACAGATGTTCAGTACACCACCCTCTATATAACACCACACATGTCCAGTACCTCACCCTCTATATAACACTACATATGTCCAATACCTCACCCTCTATATAACACCACACATGTCCAGTACACCACCCTCTATATAATGCCACACATGTTTGGTACACCACCCTCTATATAACACCACACATGCCCAGTACACCACCCTCTATATAACACCACACATGTCCAGTACGCCACCCTCTATATAACACCACACATGTCCAGTACACCAGCCTCTATATAACACCACACATGTCCAGTACATTTCCCTCTATATAACATCACAAATGTCCAGTACCTTAACCTCTATATAACGCCACACATGTTCAGTACACCACCCTCTATATAACACCACACTTGTCCAGTACACCACCCTCTATATGACACCACACATGTCCAGTACCTCACCCTCTATATCACACCACACATGTTCAGTACACCACCCTCCATATAACACCACACATGTTCAGTACTATATAATGCCACATATGTCCAATACCTCATCT